AGAGGAGCGATGGTCCCCCAAGGGTTGGTTTCCTGGAGGGTTTGCCACCACTGTTACCCTCAGACTGCCCGTGCTACTGCCTGAAGTAGCCCTCGCCTGACTGCCGCCATGACGAGAACTAGATTGAGGCCGAGGCAACGAAACTCCACCCCTTTGAGGAAACGGAGCTTGGCCCGCGACTCCGAGATTAACATCTTCCCGCAATGATAACATGACTCATCCACAAACGCCACCTCAGCGTGCTAGATGATCGGTTTCCGGCAGTAAAAAGGTGCCGTCCACGACCTGTTGAGCTCCTCATGCACCTCCGGGAAGAAAGACACCGAGGCGGGGCGCTGAGAACCAGCACGGACCACCCCCAGAACCAATCGTGCAACCTTGAGGGCTCGGGACACGGTGGAAGGCTCGACTCGAGTCCTACCCCCGTCGGTCATCCGACGTGACATCGGGAGTGACCGACTGAAAGGGAACCATGCATTCAGCAGTTTCCCATAAAGGCAATAACTTCCCCAAGCAGATTCCATTTGTGTTCAAGTTGGTCACTTGAATTTTCTGCATTCACCAACAGAAATCTGCTTGGTTTGAAAGTGACTTGTGCTTCTTATATCTCTACACTTTCGACAGTGGACCTTTTTTCCAGCAAAATCTTGTCAAAATTTTACTACTGACCGCACCTGTTTACTGTTCCTCAGCGAAAATTCACCTCAATCCGGTAAATTTTGCTTAAGGACGAAATATTTCCACAAGAACATTTTTATTGGTTTCAAGCTTTTCATGAAAATTTGTCATTTCCACCAACAAAATCCTGCTTAGTTTAAGCTTTTCATGAAAATTTGTCACATTGACCAACAAAATCCTGCTTAGTTTAAAAGTTACTTACATTATTGAAAGTATTGAAAGTAAACAGTGGACCTTTTTGTCAGCGAAATTTCACAGTTTGCCTTTAAACCTATAGAGTTCTTGCTGTAGTCAAGTCATGATGTTTAACATTCATTCAAGACACTTGCTTCTTTGTGTTTTATCTGTCTTGGAAAAAAATCTATTCTATAGGCTGTTTAGCAGTAGTGGATGAAGTACCTGAAAGCCACTTAACTACAGATATCTTACCAGAAATTACTTTGGTAGAAGTTTAAGTCACAGTTTAGAATATTACATGAGTAAAAGTTGAGTAAAAGTTATTTAAGTTTATATATATATTGGGAAAATATTTATTTGATCCCCTGCTGATTTTTGAAGTTTGCCCACTTACAAAGAAATGAAGGGTCTGTGACCATCATGCATGAATGAATGATATTTTTGCAATTTTACACATAATAATCCACGATGATCACATTACACAAAACTGAAATTGCACGTCAAAATAACACATTGTCAATATATTTTGAGACCCCCCAAAATTTCACAAATCACGTTTTCAGGGGAGCCCATGTCTTATTAAGGGGAGCCGAGCTCCCACGTAGTTCGCACCCTGGAGACAACTGTTGGTGTGATTATTCAGAAATGGAAGAAATACAAAACAACCATCAATAGGCCTCGGTCTGGAGCTCCGTGCAAGATCTTGCTTCGTGGCGTAAGGATGATCATGAGAAAGGTGAGGGATCAGCCCCGAACTACACGGGAGGAGCTTGTTAATGATCTTAAGGCAGTTGGGACCACAGTCACCAAGCAAACCATTGGTAACACACTACGACGCAATGGATGGTGCTCAAGAAGGCACATGTGCCTGTTTAAAGTTAAAAATGTCCTTAACTACCATTCTGGGCCTTGAACGTGGTAGTTGCATTGCTGTCTATGCAGCGTCAGAAATCTCTCAGATTTCATTAAAAATGCCTTAATTCTTGTTTGAAGATACTGAGAAGGTAAGAGGTCTTACGGGTTTGGAACGACATGAGGGTGAGTAATTAATGATAGAATTTTGATTTCTGGGTGAACTATCCCTTTAATACCATTGCATCTTACTGTTCTTGTTCTTAATTTCTCAAACATATGGTTTAATATTCAGAATGTTTTTATTTCTGTCATGATTAAACATTTTTGTTAAATTTCAGTGAAGATCACCTCTAATCACATTTCACAGCTGATGTTTCATGAACATAAAAACATTAAATTCACTGTTTCAAGAACTACATTGTTTTAAAAAAGCATCCTAAAAGAAGTGCTGCATTTTGAAAACAAACCAAATAGTCATAAATGACTTTTTCTTAAACTTTCGAGGTAATAATGCTCTTCACATGTGGTTCTAGGTAAAATCCCAGGAGAAATAAAAGTGCACTTCCATAATGTACTTAAAGTGTTCTGTTTTCACGCACTAATTTTGTACATAATATACTAAAAATGATTCTTTAGTACTTCTTAAGATAATCTTCTAAGTATACTCAAATGTGCAATTTTGGGACACCATGAATATGAACTCAGATGTGCTTTTAACATACTTTATCTATATTTTAAAAAATTCTTATTTACCACTTGTAGTACACTAGAACCCATCTTTCATACACTAGTGGGTCCAAGTGTACTACAAGTTATATCTAAATACATTTTTAAACTACAGAGATAGTGTGTTAAAAGCACATTTTAGGTAATATTCATGGTGTCCCAAAATAGGACAGTTGATTACACTTAGAAGATTATCTTAAGAAGTACTAAAGAATAATTTTAATATATTAAGTGCAAAATTATTGTGTGAAAATAGAGCACTTTAAGTACATTATGGAAGTACACTTTTTTTCTCCTGGTATTCTGTAGTTTGAGCAGTGTTATTGCTCATATAGTTCTAAAGAGATCATTATTCAGCTTTTTCCTTGTTTCTGGCTGTTTGTTTTTTGTTGATGGTTTTATTGAAACCAATTTTAATTCTCAACCTCCTATAATTGGGGTCCACCTTAGTTGCCTTTGGTAACAGTCTAAACATGGTACAACACAAGCGTTCTTCATGAAATGTTTTGCATGAATTACCTACAGTGGCCGAGAAGTGCAAAGCAGATCACAATTCTGAAAACAAGAACAGCAGAGTCGTGGTAGAAAGTTCGGAGATGGTATTAAAGTAGCTCAGTTTAAATGTGTTGTATGAATTGCCCTTACTCTGGAATAAAAAATACGGGGTGTCTATTTACATTTAGTTAAAAGTAGCTGCAAAACATAAGCTCCAGTGGCGCAGATGGATAAGTGCTTTTCGTTGGCTTTTTGACACGATCGACCAATGATGTGATACGAGATTTGAAAAGGAAGAAAAAAAAAGTTCGGCAAAAGGCGGGATCGAACCCTGGTCGATGGCGTCAAAAAGCCAAGGCCACGCACTTATCCATCTGCGACACTGGAGCTGATGTGTTGCAGCCACTTTTAACTAAATGTAAATAGACACCCTTTTCAGAATTGTGATCTGCTTTGCACTTCTCGGCCACCGTAATTACCCCCAAACGATTCCCACCCTGTTCTGATTCAGCCCGTGTTCATGTGTGACAAGATGCTCTAAATCACACAAAAGGTTAAATCATTTACTTTGGCTTGATCATGCATATATTATCCCACAGGTCAATTATGGCCAACCATAACTTCATTGTGGGCTGTTATCCTACAGTGTTATTGTATGAAGGTAGAATGACGTCAAAAAGATTTGCATACGTTGAAATGCGATTTACACCTTTACAAAGCTTCTCTTGCGCATGCAAATTTAATTTACGCTTACAGTCTTATGTACACTTCCACAACTCTTACCCTGCGTATGGAAATCTTTTTGATGTCATTTTACCTTCATATTATTGCTGTAAATGACATCCAAACTGATTTATGTCACTGCTGGTCTGGATGTACAAATGTCAGGGAATCCTCCCTTAAACTGTATTTTGTTCAAAGATTGTGAAATTGTCTTTAGAGTTGCACCCTAGTCCACATATACGCTTCTGGAAATTGCTGTTTAAAAAATGTAGGCAAATTAATCAATTTAGTTTTTCAATTTATTTTTTAACACATTAAACACATAAATTAAACAATATTTAACACATAAATTAAAGTATGACTATTATTTTTTTGATAAATGTCCCATTTTTTCTCCAAACTAGATCTGCATTTTAAATGCTGAGGTCATTCCAGCAGTGCAAAATATGAAATATTTACTTTTATATTGTCTACATATAGTTTTAATCGGATAATAATTCATGGTAGAATTGTTTTGTCAAACAGCGATGTTTGAAATAAGTTCAGCACATTTTCCTTAAAAATAATTGATTTAATCTCTTGTATTGTTTAAATAACAAACATTTGTAAGTTCACATTTACACAATATTCCTGCCAAAAGAATTTATCAATAAATATACTGTACATACTCAACATATTCTATTCAAGTGCTAAAAGACAACATAAAAATGCCCTGTCACATTACATCAGTAAGGATTAACAAAGTTTTTAAATCAACACCCATCACAAAAAAAATAAATAAAATTAAATAAAAAAATTAAAACATTTGGCACAATTGTTTGTCATTAAATATTTGTCATATTTTTCTTGGTAGTAATTCTGAAAATAACAAATTCTAAATTATCATGAATATCGCATGATCAGTGCTGCTCACTGTGTAGTATCTATTTATCTATTTTCTATAAATAATGTGTAACAGGACGTCTTAGTGTTTCACCAATCAAACAATATCACTTCAGTAAGCTCAATGATGTACAGTGCTATGTTCAAATTCCCTCACTAATAACATATTCCTATTATTTGGGTTCAATACTATATTTTATAAACTTAAAAATGTACAGCATCAATGCTGACTCTGTATGATTGCTTTTTGCACATTTAATATAGTCATTATATTTCATAAAGACTGGTCGCTTCCACATCATTTCTGATCTCTGAATACTTATAGGCATCATAAATTGCATAAAATATGTGCAATACCAAAAAAAACAAATAAATAAATAAAATTGCAAGTTTAAAAACAGTCTATAAATAAAATTGCATGTAAAAACCATTTAAAAAAAAAAAAAAAGAATGTGCAAGTGTTCCTAAATAAATAATGTGCCCAAATAATTGTCCTATACATTCACAGTGTAACTCTGTGAGCGTTTTCGGAATAATCTCCGAAACCACATCCAATAGAGGCAGAGCATTACAAGCCAGTAGCACACATAAGCTGTGGCTCCAAATATCAAAAACTTGATCTCCTCCTTCTTTCCATCTGTTGTCCAAGTCTTAATGCTTTCCCTGTAGATGGTGTACCCCAGGCCTCCCAATAAAATGGCCGCCCACACTGATAGAGGTGCCAGGGGGATATAGTTCCCCACCATCTTACGACGGCCCGATGTCCCCCAGCTGCTTTTGTTCATGGTGATAATGGCAAAGTATTTGGCAGGCAGGAGGCTGGTCATATAGAGAGCAGAGTATAAGGACATAAAGAGCATCACTGCATTTTGTCGTAGGATGCAGGCATAAGCTGCCTTTACCAGACCAATCAACTGGATGCAGCACAAGACCCACAAAATGTCCCACAGAGTGCCTGTCCAGAAGAGCTTGATAATGGTGGCAGTGACAAAAAAAGGAAAGATGCCTGAGACAATGGATTCGTAGGTCATCCACAGGTGGTGCTTGTGCCACCACATAGCATTATACAGCCATTCACGAAAGTAGGATTTGGTCCAACGCGTCTGCTGATTGAGCCAGCGCAGAAACTGAGCGGGAGTCTCCGTGTAGCACTTAGAACGGGCAGTGTACCTTGAAGAAACAGAAACTCAGTTCAAACATGCCTGTTTGAAATTTATAAGTAGTTAACAAGAAAAGGACCTAATAGTTTATATGGTATATAATGATTATATGGGTTGTTGCTGTCATTAGATTATTTTCCACTATTTGACTGATTGGTTCCAGCTTCCATTATCATTTAGATCACATAATTTTCAGAACTCACAACTTTGCAAAGTTGTTGTCTATTATTTATGTATTTATCAGAAAGACGTCAGCTGAACACAGAGTCACAGCCTTGTTTTCCTTCCTGTTAAAAATTAAATATCATTTTACATTTTAGCTAATTTCGTACAATTTTGTATGATCTGCTTATACCCTACTAATGGTTAGGTATGGGGTGGACCTTCATGCTTATTTTTTTCTCTAAACAACATACGTTTCCGTATGAATCACATCGTACAAATGAATAAAATTGCCACTTCATGAAACAGATATGATATCTTATACTGACAAAGAGATCGGGTTGATCATATCATACAGAAAGGTAAAGTTCGCAGACTAGCTACAAAGCACATTTACTGACGAAGTATCAATTTGAATTTCAATTTGTTTCAACTATCTTATACATTCTGTTGTTGTTTGCCATAATAATATGCTGCTATTATTACGTGGACCCTCATCATATCACTACAGATGATCCTATTTTACTGAGCTGGGAACGGTTTGTAATTGTAATGTGCCAAACAGTGCTCAAGTGGAACCATTCTGCCAAAAGATGGACAACCGCTCATTATGTACTTAGCTTGTGAATAATCAATTGTGAATCAACTACTTACTTTGTAGCATAGCCCATGCTTAGCATTCGATTGGTGAGATGCCGGTCATCCCCAAAAGTACAGTGGGTACCAAGAAACTTCTGGTTGTACCAGGATTCCAGGAACTGCTGCAGCAGGTCATTCCTATAAAGACCTGAAGTGAAGATCATGAAACTCAGTTATTCCTACAGACAAAATATCAAAACTCAGATCAGAGTAACAACTAAAATAAGACAGCTAGAGCAGATCAGATGAGAACTGAGCAATCCCACGCCTTCAGCAACATTTTAATCAGTGTTTCTCAACAACGGTGTTCTGAGTGAACCAAAGATTTAAATAC